TTCATGGAATGGTTTTGGGGTAAATACGTTGGTAAGTCTTGATAGGTGGTATAGATGATATTGAATAAGTTGGCCTGAGAGCCCGGGGTGAAAGACCGAAAACCCGCGCGAATAGGTGTCGAGCCTTCCGGTTGATGCTAGTAAAAATGACGATTTGATAATACTTGTATAGTCTACTTGCAGACACCGACCTAAGGATTACCAAAGTCGTATTTACCGCCCTTGAAATAAATTGTTAAGTTTTGAACAATTGAAATTGCAAGATATCATTGAGCATGATGGTTTTCAAAAGATGAAAATGTGATTTATCTTCAAAAAGGGCATAGCATGGCATGTGTATTTCATCTCTTGAGACTTGTATAAAATGTATATACATTGTTAAGAATTTCCTACTGGGCTTTATACTCACCCTACGGGATTTTTGTGCAGGAAAAGATGTGGTGATCCCACCCAACTAGGGACGTGGAAGTATGTGTGTTGGGAGTACAATGCTCTCATTTTGCTATAACTCTATGTGTAAGCCAAGGGCAGTGTTTGTATGGGTTTGAATAACCGTTTTGTGTAATCAAGCTCAAGCCTTGGAAACTTGTAAACCCTTGGGGGTATTTATTTGTTTATTTACTTATTGTTGGATTAATGTATTGTTGCATGAAGAACTATTGTATCATGTAATGTAAGTTTGGAGATTTATATTTGGTTTTCCTTGTAAGAACTTGTCTTATCATTTGGGCTAGAATTTTGAGGTGGCATATGCGATATACATGCTCCAACTTGAGCGGGAGTGCTAAAATTAAGGATATGATTTGGTCGATATTTGATTTAGTCAATATCCTTAATTATGTAATCTTATCAATTCCTTAGTTATATGATATTTCTGTAATCTTTTATTCTTTCCTTGTTAATATTTGTACTATATATATTGTACAACTATGATAAATGAAAACACTTACAAAATTATTCCACAATTGTATTTGTTGATAACTTACAATTCTCACCAACCATCTATCTACTATAAACACTAAACATTCTCACCCATTATTCACCCACCAACAACCATCTACCATTAAACAATTTGCCCTATAAATTACAATACAATAATATTCTAAACTTTTAGGTAGCGTTTGGTAGAGTTTTGTAAATGTGATTTGAGAGTATAAGTTGTATTTTGAGTTTGTGTGTTGTGGAATTATGATTTGAGTGTAGAAAATTTGTTTGATAAAGAGTTTTGAAAAGAGTTTTGATTTGAGTGGGGAATTATTGATGTGACATTTGATATGTGATACAAAAATTTACAACTCATAACTAAACATACAACTCAAAATTATTTTAAAGTACATAAAAAAATTTAAAAATTTCAGAAAATGTTTTTTTTGATTATATAAATCAATTGCAAAAAAAAAAAAAAAAATCACTATTCCGGTCAATCGGCCGAGCATCCCGTCAGGCAAAATTTTCAAAAAAAAAAAAAGAAAAACGCGTCTGTCAAAACAGAAAACCGCAGGTGTTCTGTGTAGAGTTTTGGAATCATTGTTTGAGAACACTAACCAAACACCATACTTGAATTGAGGTGTGGAATCATGATTTGAATTGACAACCAAATAGAGCCAAATTTTCTATACTACTACAATGAACAATTTCACGAAGGCAATTTTTAGTGGAGAATTTGATGAATCTTTATCATCTGATGAAGATATAATGATGATGCAACTGTTAACAGTCGAGTTTGAAAGAAGAGAAGCACAACGAGCAAACCAACGAACCAAACATGTTGGTTCCACAAGTGGTCGACAATACATCAATCATGACAAGATTAGAGGCGATGAACAAATACATAGGGATTACTTTGCAAAGGATCCTATCTATCCAAAAGATATCTTCGCGAGAAATTCATCTCACAAACCTGAAAACCCTAAACCACACACAAAGAAGATGAAGCAGATGAAGAAGATGAAATTAAGAGAAGAATATGAAGAGACTTCAAACGCTTGAAATTTGCTTTCAATTAGTTGAGATTATTCATGCTTTGTTTGAGATTGCTTGAAATTTGCAAGAAATTGCTTGATTGTTATTGTTGTTGTTGTGATTATTATTTGTGACTATTGTCTTTGTAATTATTGTTGTTGTTTTTTGAATTCCATTAATTTTTTTATTTTTATTTTTTTGGGAGGAGGGGAGTTTTGGGAGAGTTTTGCTAGAGAAGAATGAGAGAGGAAGTGAGGGAAGAAAGAAAAACAGTTGGGATGATGATCTGGTAGATTTGGCATTACCAAAGCTTGTGACAAATTTAGTATAAAAGTCTCAACTTTGCTATAGTTTGGCAGCCTATAGCCACGAGTAAGGCTACAAATAAATAGAATCATTCGTAAATAGGTTCGAACTCAACTCAGTAAGAGCTTATTCGAATTTGATTCGTTAAATTTTTTTTTGCATTCGAGCTCGAGCTCGAACTTGTTAAATTTTTAATAGACAAACCTAAACATACTAAAGTTTGGCTCATAAGCTCGGCTCGTAAGCTTGGCTTATTAGTTGGCTCTTTTAACATTTATTATTTATATTAAATAATGTAAAATTATGTATACAAAATAAGATAAATATGTATTTATATACTTAAAAAATATAAATGTAAATAATAGTTAACTATAGATAGTATATTTATATAATAGTGGTGATAGATATTATTATTTTGGTAAAATATTGACTTGTTTTTTAGTATGTTTATATATATTAATCAAAATTTTAATTATAACTTTAGTCTCATACGTAAGTATAAATTTATAAATTTTTTGACTCATCAAGGCTTATGAATAGGCTTGAGCTCGAATCAAGTCTAAGCCAACTCGACTCGAGCTCGGTTCATTAAATTTTTATTGAGTTCGAGCTCGAGCTTGAACTCATTAAAATCTTAATAAATAAACCTAAATATGCTAAAATTTGGTTTGGCTCAATTCGTTTGTAACCCTAGACACGGGAGAGTTGTTTTTGCCAACTCTTGCCAAATTTTGGTTTTCACATATCCTTTGGCAGCCCACTGTGGATGCTTTAAGAAGCATTCGGTTGTCATCCTAGAACCAAAAAAAAAAATCAATGGAACCAAGTGCACTGTTAAGAAAAAATAAAAAAAGTACTGACTAATGTGTTTGTGATTTGGGTTGCTTATTATTGGTGTAGATTTAATTGGTTTTGAAATCTAATGCTTTAAATTATCTAAAGGTTGCTTGTGTATGCCTTCAATATGTTAGCTTTCATAACTTAGATTATTGGAAAAATTTCACTTTGGGGAAAGTGAATCAATTTCAATAGTTTAAGGTAATAATTATTAAAATTAATAATTCAAGACCGCAAAGTTTGATAGTTTTAGGGACAAATTAAAATTTTTCTTCAAATAAAAAAGTGCATTTTTCAGGGAAAAAAAAAATTAGAGGAAATTTCATTTTGCCTCCCAAACTATACTTCGATGATCAATTTAACCTTGTTCTTCTTATAATTTCAATTTTACACTTAAACTATTCAATTTTATATCAATTTCACCCCTATCATCAACTACCGTCTATAATTAAATGACACTTGCTATCGTTTTCATTTAAAATTTTATTTTACTTCCCAAACTATCCCCAAAATATCAATTAAACCCTACACAAATTGATATTTTGGGGATAGTTTGGGAGGGGGGCAAAATAAAATTTTTAACGAAATTTCGGTGCCACGGCAGTAATTTCCGTTTGATTATTAACGGCAACTAAAGACAGTGGTGAAATTGATTCAAAATCAAACAGTTTACGCATAAAATTGAAATTATAAGAAGTCAATGGGTTAAATTGATCATCAATATATAATTTGAACGGTAAAATGAAAATTTCTCAAAAAAATGTTATAGGATAAAGTGAAATAAATTTAGTAGTTTAAGGTGTTAATTGTTAAAATTAATAATTAAGTGACACATGTATGATAGTTTGAGGAGATCATGAAAATTCCACCTTTTTATTGAGGAATAGGAAAAGCACATATATTAAAATAAATAAACAACAAACAAGATTAAAATAAAAACAATAATACTTTAAAGGGCCAAACAAACAACCAAACAATAAAACAAAATCGCCAAAAAAAACATAAAATATTGAAATAAAAACAATACCCTAAAAGGCCAAACAAAAAACCAAACAACAAAACAAAACCACCAAAAAAATCAGTTACAATGTAGAGAAAACTACCAATCCTCTCATAGATGTGGTTTAGAAAGTAAGATCTGCATCAAATTAAGTAAGATCAGCATTAAACTAAGTAAGATCTGCGTCAACACCCGCAGTCGACATCGTCCTCGTCACTGCTGTCTAATTCTACCACCGCCGCCGTCAAATTTCGGACACTGCCAGAAGTTAGAGTTGCAGAGGAAGAACACTCACAATGGTATGGAAGGAAGCTTGAAAGAAGAGGGAACCATTATGGGTGTCAAAAATCTAAAATTTTATACCAAAATCGGGAGAGAAAAACTCAAAATTCATATTTCAGACATAAAAAACCCAAATTTACACTCTAAAAGTACAAATTTATACTCTAAGATTGTATATCTACATTTTAAAAGTGTAAAGAAGATCACTAAAGTGTCGCCAAAACGTCAAAACACCATCAAAAATCTCTAAAGAGAGAAACTCAGCTCTGCTCAACTCATGCCCTCTCTCTCTCTCTCTCTCTCTTCAGGCTCTAATTATGAAAATTCCACTTATGTTATAGGAATCCTGTACAAAATGATGTTTGTATTAGGTATTGATCAAATTCAAAGTTGATATATCGGGGGAAAAGGGAGGGAGAGAGTGCTACATCTATTGTAACAAAATTGTAGATGGTTGAAATTGAGTCCTTTATATAAATTCAAGGTTTAAAATGAAAAAATAAAATTAACTCTTGAGATTTGAACCCCGTTTTTTTTTTCTTTCAAAATGTCAATTAGGCGACAGTAGACTTCATTTAGTAGACAAGAATAGTTTCTCCAACAAATTTCTTATCCAAACAAGGCCTTCAACCAATGATATATGTCCATTAAGAATATCTTGCAACAAAACAAAAACTTGGGCAGACAAGCTAAAATTGATGTAAAAAAATAAAAATAAATAAGGAAATACAAAATACAAAATACCGAAAACAATGGCGACGCATAAACTCCCAAGTTGAATCTATAAGATGTACATCATACAAGGAAATGACTGAATGGGCTAAGATAACAGCAGCCTAGGGCAGTAGCAGATTAAGCGTATCAAGGTGGCAGCAGCTGCTACGGAAGAAAAGTTCCCGAAGGCAGTTTCTAACCCAAACAAAAGACCAACACTAGCAATCAATAATTGGAGAAGTTTTGAGAACACTAGGGTTAGCTAATGAAAACTAGAAATGGCATATAACAAACACAATAATATGCATCTACATATAAGGGCTCATTCATACATCAAACCAAAAAAACACGATATGTTAGAAAGAGGCCGAGCTTGCTCTCCGGAGCTGATACTTTGGTTCCGGAGGTGGTACACTCGACAATACCTTCTCCAACTCCTGTAAAAGTAAAATCACCAACAGCCAAAAAAAAATCAAAAATGAAAAAATCAGTAAACAAAAGCAAAGGTATTCAATCATATATTTGTAAGGTCGACAGTAGTAGCAATGGTATTCAACAAAACACAATTGTAGAAATAACAGGAAAGTATAAGAACAAGGGAAAGACTATGGTACACACACCCCTCAAAGGGTGTATACCGTATGCACCTTATAACTAAAGATGAAAATTGCATAACTTCATATTTTCAGAATCATAACTAAAAATAAAAATAAAAAGTCATAACTAAACAATACATGAGGCATACCAAAGATTTCATGAGTCAAAACTAAAATAAGGTCATAACTAAATAAGAAAATAACATAATTTAGGGGTGCACATGGTAGGGGTGTATATAGTAGAATTTCTCTAAGAACAAACGTACTCATTCTTTTCTTTTCTTTTTTTTAAGAAAAAAAAAAAGAGAGAAAAAGAAAAAGAAAAAGAAAATACAAAAAAGAGCAAAAAGTCTCACATTCTACACACAACTCTCCAATCCCTAGAAATTAGAAAAAGCAGGATCCTTTAAAAGGAGGAGCCATTGACATCCAAAAGGAAGCCAAAAAGAAATTTTTTCCCCACAAGCTCTCAAAATCTTCACGTTTCCCAAAAAAAATTCTACCATTTCCTTCGATGCATAAGACCCAAAGAACTGCACAAACCACACCAAGCATCTGAACAAACAAAAGTTATACTCTCCAGCATGCAACAAGAGTGTTGCTTTCAAAATACAAAGAGATCTTCCATATTAATGAAAACTAAAGGTAAGCAGAGAAAAAAAATAATAATTGCAAGTTCATTTCTCTTGGACTAGCTAATCTTATCACAGTTCTCAGTTATATGAAATTCATCATCTTACCGTTGGTTTAAAGCAACAGAATGTCATCCAAGCACACAGATGAAACACAGATATCTTTGGTAATAAAGCAATCATATTTGGGAGAAAAAGGTAGCAGCACAGCCTTCATTAGTGGAATAAACCAAAACAGAGTTATCCACTCATAGATGACCAGAGGTTAATTTTAATAAGACAATATTTCAGATCCCTAGTAAAACTCCCCTAATTTGACCCACAATGATGTGTCATGTTAGGTGTCCGTCTTAATTTGTCACACGCTCAACTATGTAGGGCCCAACACCCTTGCCACATCATTGTGAGTGAATTTGTGGGTCTCTGGAATTTCTCATTTTAATAATAGGGCTATGTTTTGGAAATGTTCAAATAAGTTTAAGTTCCTTGGTCTAACCACACTCCACTTGGTTCTCTCCTACTGTTGGGAGTTCAAATTCTCTTCAATCTATTAGGGTGAAATTGGAGTGACAAATTGGGCATAAGTGTCAAAAAATTTCTCCAGGGTAAAAACATGTGGAATTATGTTTCTAGGGTTGCTAAGATACCTACAAACACTGAGGCTGAAAATTTTGACGAGTTACTTTCTACTTGGAGAGCTAACAATCTAAGATTATAACTTGAGTAAATAGCTATGTGGATCAGTCCATTGATGTTCACTTGGTTAAGTTCACCACAACAAATGACATTTGAGAGACTCTCCAAGTTGTTTGTTAAACAATTTGGCCAATTGATATCAGTTGGAAATAGGAGTATACAAGAGTTTTATTCTATTATGACTAATTTGTGGGATTAGATAGCCTTCACAGAGAAGATAAAGAATGTGGTGTATTGCAACACAGAGATTGGTACAATTTCTGATGGACCTTACAGATGATTTTGAAGAATTAGTGGCACTATTCTTTATCACAATCCACTTATTGGCAAAAGAAATTTGTCTTAGGGTTGCATCAGGGAAGAGGTAATATGCTTTACCTAGCCAAACAATTATGGTCACATGACCTACTAGTCATCAGATTAGTGCAAAGAGCAAACAGCCCGCTCGTACACCTATGAGAGCATTCTTCTCATCAAAAGGTCATTGGAAGGCTCAATACTTTAATTATTGATTCTTCGAAACTCTGGACAACAGTAGTCTTGGAATAAGAGTGGGGATAGGCACACTGGACAATAACAATCTTGGAAGAAAACCGGTAACAGACACACTACCATTATTGCACCATTTGTAAAGGATCAATCTCAATCAATTTCCTTCTTAACAATTATACTCGGCAATAATTGCAGAAATTTCTTTCTAGCAATCAACCTATTGTCTTATTTGTCTCCTCATTTATAGGTTTGTTTTTATCAACTCAAGGTATATCTAGCTCTATTTAGGTATTTGATTCTGGTGCCACATACTATATGACTAATGATTATGGTATTTGATTCAGGTCCTGCACACCATATGACTAATGATTACAGCATTTGATTCTTATGCTACACACCAGAGTGGAGCTAGCACGACTATTTCTATTTTTTTTTTTTTTGATAACCAAGAATCTGGCCTAGGCACAACCCTTTGAACCCACACTGGGAAAGTGCACTTGGAGTTCAGGCTACCCCCCCAATTCCTCTGAACTTCATCAGTAACATGGGGAGTACACCCAAATACTAACATGTATGACTCCTCGTAGGTTACTCTTGTAGAACCATAAAGTTTCAATAGCGTCCAATGATCAAAATTTCCAATATTGATCATGAATATAATATCCTTAACAAAAAGGAAGGGATATTGACCAAATTGATGAGATGACTCACTTAACCTCATCACCATGGTACCACATGAGATTGAATCTGTCATCAACAATTGTTAACTAATGCCTTAATTTCTCATTTTAAAGAGAAGATGATTTTCATATATGTATTTACATTTTATAGACAAGTTTCTTTTTAAACCAACTGACAATGTAATCACAACTTTTGCAGGCAGAAACTCTTAGCAACTCCATGACACATGATGCAAACTACTTATTGACCAAGTAAAATGTAACTACAACAAAACTCTTGTTTTATTTATTTTTAATATATATAACTATAGCAAAATTTCTAATGTGACAAAGGATGATAATCCCCACAAAAAAATGAAGGCAAAAATATTAGAATAACAGAGTTTAAAAGCTCGTTTGGTTTAGATGATTTAAAAATATATATATATGACTAATAAATAATAAATAATAAATAAAAAAACAGATTTAGTTATGCTAATGTTTAAAAAACTGAAAAAATCAGTTCAAATAATCTGAACTAATAAGCACTAAGCTTTCCTCTGAAATCAATTTTATCAACGGAGGATGGCATACTTGGGCAATGATATCATTTCAAGACCTCTATGTAAACAAAGGGGAGAGGAGATGATTTGGCAAGCTATCACTCAGGGAGCAAGCAAGTAACCCAAGCTTCCATGAAGATAACGACAACTACATTTGCTATTGCATGGATGGGGATCTGCAGAAACCAGGGGTCCTGGACCTAGATACATGATAGGGTCTAGGTGGTGTAAAATGTAGATTCCATGAAACTAAACACAGATTTGGAGGTTTTTCTCATTTCTTTGTTCCCAATGATGAAGTTGATTTAGATAAAGCAGCAATTTGGGTATTTGAATTTTAAATTCTTGTCAAAAGTGGTCAATGTAATACTGCACTCTTCTTTTTTTAGCATTTCTTTATTTTTTAATCCTCCACCTTCATCATATTCTTCTCATTTATATAGTTATTTCATTTCTTCTAGTTTCTTTTTTTCTTTTCAATTGGTGTATCTATTAGTCTAGTAGCACGCTGTTGGCCTTGGGATTTCAACCATGGCTTTTGCGAATAGAAGTTAGATGAAATAAAGTTCTGTTTGATGGCACTCCTATTTTGAATGATTCCAGCATTATGAAATTTCAACTAATTTAGATTACAAACACACACACACACATATTATGAACCTGTTACTCTAATTTCCGAATACTTTATAAAATTGATTGCAGAACAATGACGAGAGGTTTAATTCTTTCTTGATCAAACTTCCAAATGTACAGAAACAGGCTACATTTCTTTTCTGTAAGCCCTAAATAAATGCATGCACATGATATATCTAAGATTTCAACTCATGAGAAGACAAGAAACCTCTGAATATTTTTAGAGAAAGAATGTCCTTTCTCTTACATCTGACCTGAAATTTTTCACTCCCACCTCATGCTTCCAATAATAAAACTAAATAAGGGGTAATTTATATGAAACAGTCCAATATTAGAACAAACCAAACCATGAACACATCCCTAAATAAACATATCTATATATACACTTATTCACATACAATACAATATAATTTAAACTAATTACAATAAGCCCTTGTAACTTTTGAGAGAATGAATGCCCTTCCTCTCTATTTTGAAACCTCCTTTCACTCCCACTTAATGATTTCAGTTTCAAAATGAATAGGGGTTAGTTCATAAGAAACAGTCCATTGTATTTGGACTGCCACCTAAATTCTATTTAAGTCCTCGCCGAAGTATGAGAGTACTAAAGCACATTTATCTTTAATGTTACCTTTGGATTCAGGGGATGTGACGGATGTGATCAGAAGTGCGTGACCTCCCCTTGTTTGAGCGTTTAAAAAGTAGGAGGGGAAGGGGTTAAAAGGTATGGTCAAAGCCCTTTCATCGATGGGGAAGTGCAGGGGAGTTAACTGACTGCCAATTTTGTCCCGCTATTAATTGGAAGAAGTGAATTCCAGTTACGCACTCTTCGACACATAAGAATAAAATATTCCTCATTTCCCTTCTCCACAACCATTACCACCTCCACTCCACTATAACCACCAATGAATAGAATGTGTGTTTGAGACTTGTCTCCATACACATACCCCACCTTTGGTTGCATATCCCAAAATCGTAAAATTTAGGTTTAGGAAAATCTAACACTTGGACACACTCACCCGTACCAATACTCGTACCCAGGTCTCTGTAACACAGGATATGGCGGGTTAATGCTAAAAGTATCCATCATAGAAATCTACATAGAGAATTCATAATGATAAAACATATGTCATCAACTTAAAAAATTACCAAAACCAAGTAGAAAC